TCTGCCTCGGTTTCTTCAATTGTAAAATGTCAATAATAATGGAATCTACTTCATAGAGAGTCATGGTTGTATTGCCACAGTAATTAATAAAGCGCCAGGCACATTATAAGGACTATCTGACACATTTATTATTTACAAAGTAGGGAACAGAGGCTATTGTGGTGGCTCACACCTGTAATCCCAGCACTTTGGGAGGCGGAGGTGCGAGGATCACTTGAGGCTAGGAGTTCAAGACCAGCCTGTGCAACATAGAGACTCTCCCATCATTACAAAAAAATAAAAAAAAATTCTAGCTGACCCTTTGGACAATAATTTTTTTCCCCCTAGAAAATTAGCCAGATGGGGCCGGACGTGGTGGCTCACACCTGTAATCCCAGCACTTTGGGAGCCCGAGGCGAGTGGATCACGAGGTCAGGAGATCGAGACCATCCTGGCTAATACGGTAAAACCCCGTCTCTATTAAAAAAAAAAAGGCCGGGCGTGGTGGCGAGCCCCTGTAGTCCCAGCTACTCGGGAGGCTGAGGCAGGAGAATGACGTGAACCTGGGAGGCGGAGCTTGCAGTGAGCCGAGATCACGCCACTGCACTGCAGCCTGGGCACGGTGGCTCACGCCTGTAATCCCATGACTTTGGGAGGCTGAGGCAGGTGGATCATGAGGTCAGGAGGTCAAGGCCAGTCTGGCCAAGATGGTGAAACACCGTCTCTACTAAAAAATACAAAAATTAGCTGGTGGCAGGTGCCTGTAATCCCAGCTACTTGGGAGCCTGAGGCAGGGAATTGCTTGAACCCGGGAGGCAGAGGCTGCAGTGAAGCGAGATCGCGCTACTGCACTCCCGCCAGCCGACAGAGCAAGACTCCGTCTCAAAACAAAAACAAAGAAACAAGCAAACAAATAATAGAAAACACGAGAGAATCCTGTCCGCAAACGCTTAGCAGTCTGAAGTCGGCCTGGGCAAAGGATACTGGAACACTCCCCTACCCGCCCCGCCGAGAATGGGGAACCGGCGGCGCCAGGTTGTGAGTCCGCCAAGCTCCCGGCAGGCTGCGCGGCGCTCCTGGCGTGCACCTTGGCGTGCGGAGCTGGCACCTTGGCGCCGTGGGCGGCGGCGGGGACAGCTGTGAAGTGTGAAGTTCCTTGTCTGCTGGCAGCCAGAGGCGACGAGTCTGGATGTCATGGAAGTGTAAGTCTCCTCGGGCGCGTCCCTTTTGGGCCGAGGAGCCTAACGGTTGGACCGCTGAGAGCCGAGAGCCTTGGGGACTGGGCGACCGTCGTTCGGGAGTGAGGGCCGGCCCTGTCCGGGAGGGTCCCGGGGTGGGGACGGGGTGAACTGGACTCTCGCTTTGCCCCTCCGAACTTTCGCTTCCCCTCCACACCCTGTGTCTGGGGTGCGGGGCCGACCACCTCCGTGCCCAGCTGCCTTTCAATGTGCCCCCTCCTTCTCTCATTCATTTACCAGCATCTTTGGGTCACAGTGCGGGGGTGGAGCCCAGCCTGGTATCCGAGACGGGACTTAGAAGGCTATAAAGGCCTGAGTCTGTCCGCCCTGAAAGTAGCTGGAGAAGAGACGAATCAGGGCCGGGTAGAGCTCTGCTTTCCTCACTGGGCCCTGGGGAGCCCTTACTCAGAAGAGCTGCTCTCAGAGTTTGACGGGAGCAGTCAACACTGTGAGGGAAACGGTGAGTTTTTGGGTGGAGAAGGGAAGGATGTGAGCCAGGACTGGGACCAGAGAAACAGCACGGGGTGTGTGGGTGTGTGCAGGCGAGGGTAAAAGATTTTCTGACGGCCGGGCGCGGTGGCTCAAGCCTGTAATCCCAGCACTTTGGGAGGCCGAGACGGGCGGATCACGAGGTCAGGAGATCGAGACCATCCTGGCGAACACGGTGAAACCCCGTCTCTACTAAAGAAATACAAAAAACTAGCCGGGCGAGGTGGCAGGCGCCTGTAGTCCCAGCTACTCTGGAGGCTGAGGCCGGAGAATGGCGTGAACCCGGGAGGCAGAGCTTGCAGTGAGCTGAAATCCCGCCACTGCACTCCAGCCTGGGCTACAAAGCGAGACTCCGTCTCAAAAAAAAAAAAAAAAAAAAAAAGATTTTCTGACAATTTAACTCCACGTGGTCTTTTCCATGGTTGTTCCTTGCGCCTTGTGCAAATGGAAGTTTTTGCATCTACTCTGAATGTGGGCTTTATATGATTGATATCAACTTGTAGATATTATCTCTCTTGTGTTCCCTGTGAACTGATGGATACAGTTTCCTTCACATCCTCTTGCCTCATGTTTAATGGTTATATGTACTATGGCATTTCAGATGTTTATATTTTTATTTAATTACTTTTGTTGTTTCTCAAGAAACAGAGTCTTGCTGTGTTCCCCAGGTGGGAGTGCAGTGGTGTAATCATGGTTCACTGCAGCCTCGACCTTCTGGACTCAAGCAATCCTGCTTCAGCCTCTCCAGTAGCTGGGACTACAGGCCCACACCATCACTCGCTGTTAATTTTTTTAAAAAAAGTTTTTCTAGACAGAGGGTCTCACTACAGCCCAGGCTCATCTCAAGTGATCCTAAGCTCAAGTGATCCTCCTGCCTTGTACTCCCAAAGTGCTGGGATTGCAGGCGTGAGCCACCTCACCTGGCTCCTTTTGATATATATATATATTTTTTGACTTAACACAATATGTCTGTGTAACTGAAATGAAAGGCTCATGAAACAATAATGTGTGGAGTATACTCTCATATTGTCTATTTTTTAATTAAAATGAAGGGGGCCAAGCGTGGTGGCTCATATCAGTAGTGCCAGCACTTTGGGAAGCTTAGGCAGGAGGATCACTTGAGCCTGGGAGGTGGAGACCAGCCTGGGCAACATAGGGAGACCCTGTCTCTGCAAAAAATTAAAAAGTTAGCTGGGTGTGGTGGTGCATGCCCGAAGTCTCAGCTACTTATGAGGCTGAGATGGGAGGATCGCTTGATCCCAGGAGGCTGCAATGAGCTGAGATCCAGCCAGTGCACTCCTGCCAGAGTGACAGAGCAAGACTGTCTAAAAAAAAGAAATATAAGTTGACCCACTGAATTAATTTTGCAACCTACTGATGGGATTTCATCTGCAACCTCAAAAACTATTAATATATTTTATTCTAGTACAAGCCATCATTACTAATTTTTCCCTATTTTCTAAAGCATTTCCTGTGAGCATACAATCCTGCTTTAGTGTATTCATCTTTTTTGAAATGGAGTCTTGCTCTGTTGCCAGGCTGGAGTGCAGTAGCACCATCTTGCCTCACTGCAACCTCCGCCTCCTGGGTTCAAGCAATTTTCCTGCCTCAGCCTCCCGAGTAGCTGGGACTACAGGTGCATGCCGCCACACCCGGCTAAATTTTTCTTTTTGGAATTTTAGTAGAGATGGGGTTTTACCATGTTGCCCAGGCTGGTCTCGAACTCTTGAGCTCAGGCAATCCACGCAGCTCAGCCTCTCAAAGTGCTAGGATTACAGGCGTGAGCCACCGCGCCTGGCCGCATGTCCACCTCTTACTCCATTTCTGCTTCCCATCCCAACAAAACTTCTTGAAAGTGCTGATTAGCCCCTCTTTCTCTCAACCATTCTGTTGGGCTTTCTTCCTCACTGGTCTACAGAAATGAATGTTAAGATTACCTGATCCAGGGGGCACGGTGGCTCACACCTGTAATCCCAGCACTTTAAGAGGCCAAGATGGGCGAATCGCCTGAGGTCAGGAGTTTGAGACCAGCCTGGCCAACATGGCAAAACCCCGTGTCTACTAAAGATACAGAAATTAGCCGGGTGTGGTGGTGGGCACCTGTAATCTCAGCTACTCAGGAGACTGAGGCAGGAAAATCACTTGAACTCGGGAGGCAGAGGTTGCAGAAAACCAAATTGTGCCACTGCACCCCAGCTTGGGTAACAGAGCAAGACTCTGTCCAAAAAAAAAAAAAAAAAAAAAAAAAAAAAACCTATCCCTCCATTTTGTCAAATCCAGAGGTTGATTTTCTGGCCTCAACTTTTTTGATCTCTCAACAGTGGTTAATACAGAAACTCTAGAAACTTTCCTTTCTTCACGTTATATGTTCCTTTGTGATACTTCCTCCTACATCAAGGACTACTTCACAGTGTCCTTCCCTGGGTCCTGTTCCTCCCTTGCTTGATGTCTAAGTGTTGAGGTATCTTAGGTCTCAGTCCTGGGACCCTTTCTCTCCACGCTCTGTCATTTAACCCATCTGTGTGCTGATGGTTCCCATAGGTGTGTTTCTAGCCTCTTCTCATCATCTATCCAATTGCATAGACCAAAAATCTAGCCCTCTCTCCTCACTCCGTAAATCCAGTCCATCAGTGGTCCTGTTGTCTCCACCCTAGAATGTATTTTGAATGCAGCTACTTTTCACCGTCTCCACTGTCAGCTTTGTAGTCCATCACCTCTGGGCTGGATTAAGCAATAGCCTTTGAGTGTTCACTCTTCCCCAGCCTCCATTCTGTTCTCCACATGGCAACTGGAGTGATCTTAAGTAATGACTGGAACATGTCACTCCTGGGTAAAACCCTTCATTGACTTTCCATTGCACGTAGAGGAAATCTCCATCTCTTACCAGGACCTGCAAGACCCTGTAAAACCTCACCTACTCCCCAGCCTGACCACTTGCCACTCTCCCAACCTCCCAGACACACACTTTCCACTAACAGGTATTTCCTTCTCCTCTAACCTTCTAAGCACTTTCTGAGGACAATTGCATTGCGATACTCTCTGTCTGGTATACTTTCCTTCTCGCCCTCGCCCTGTTCTCTTCTTTTTATTGTAATTTTTAAGTTTGTTTTTGAGATGGAGTCTCGCTCTGTCACCCAGGCTGGAGTCCAGTGGTGCAGTCTCGGCTCACTGCAACCTCTGCCTTCTGGGTTCAAGGGATTCTCCTGCTTCAGCCTACCAAGTAGCTGGGATTACAGGTGTGTGCCACCATGCCCAGCTAATTTATGTATTTTTGGTAGAGACAGCGTTTCCATGTTGGCCAGACTGGTCTTGAATTCCTGACCTCAGGTGATCTGCCTGCTGCTGGGATTACAGGCGTGAGCCACCACACCTGGCCACCTGTTCTCTTCTTGAAGGCTGTGTCCCTTTTCAAAGTCGCCTTTCCTCTTCAGTAAGTCTAACTAACGTAAGTTCTTTTTGTCTCTCATATCACCTTGATTTACTTTCCCTCAAATAATTACAAGTTGCAATGATAAATGTATGTTTACTTGTTTGGATGGGGGGACCATTGTGTGTTCACCTAATGCTTAGCATTGCATCTGGCACACAGTAGGCATTCAGCAAATACTTGTTCAATAAAGTAATATAACAATACTTTATTAGCTTCATAAATACAGTCATCGCTCAGTGTCTTTGGGGGATTGTTTTCTGAACCCCCTGTGTATACCAAAATTCACAGATGCTCAAGTTCCTTATATAAAACGGTGTAGTATGGCCGGGCGCGGTGGCTCAAGCCTGTAATCCCAGCACTTTGGGAGGCCGAGACGGGTGGATCACGAGGTCAGGCGATCGAGACCATCCTGGCTAACACGGTGAAACCCCGTCTCTACTAAGAAATATAAAAAACTAGCCGGGCGAGGTGGCGGGCGCCTGTAGTCCCAGCTACTCGGGAGGCTGAGGCCGGAGAATGGCGTGAACCCGGAAGGCGGAGCTTGCAGTGAGCTGAGATCCGGCCACTGCACTCCGTGTAGTATTTGCATGTAATCTGTGCACATTCTCTCATATACTTTAAATCATCTCTAGATGACTTATTATGATACCGTGACCTGTAATGCCAGTTTTGGCCATGGTTCCTGGCTCATAACTGCCATAGTCCTTATTACTTCCTAAGTGACTAAAACAGTAAGCATAACTTTTGTTAAAGTATTCGTCCTTTGTCCCTGGTTCCTGAAGTGGCTTTGGAACAGCTTCAGAGCAGTAAAGGTGAAAGACAGTCTTTTTTTTTTTTTTTTTTTTGAGACGGAGTCTCACTCTGTTGCCCAGGCTGGAGTGCAGTGGCTGGATCTCAGCTCACTGCAAGCTCCGCCTCCCGGGTTCATGCCATTCTCCTGCCTCAGCCTCCCGCATAGCTGGGATTACAGGCGCCCGCCACCTCTCAGCCTCCCAAAGTGCTGGGATTACAGGCTTGAGCCACCACGCCTGGCTGAAAGACAGTCTTTTGTTAGAATGTTGGGGTGCTCTAAGCCTCAGAAGCAGGCCTCAGAAAACAGAAGCTCTGTCTGTCTCTTGCCCTCTAATCATCCCCTGCCTTTCTGTCTTAGAGCTAGCCGTAAAGAAATCTCTGACATATCTTGTCTAATTGTAGGTTATAAGACCCCTGTTTCAGAAGGGGTCCTGCCCCTTACCTGCGAGGAAGGAATACAGAGAGGCCAAGGAGAATCTGGACGGGCCTTGCTGGGTTTCTGCACTCAGTCTGCTAGTATTAGATCACACTCTTTATCCAGTCAAGTACTGTGAGGTTGGCCATGCTTCAATCATCTCTCTCCAGTGAAATCTCTACAAAACGCCCAAGAGAACTTCTGGATAGCCTAACAGATGGAAGTTTCTGGAGAGTGGTACGCCTGGGGAGGGCATAGAACTCTGCATCCCCTCTCCATCCCTCACCCTGTGCACCACTTCATCTGTATCCTTGGTAATATCCTTTGTAATAAACCAGTTAAACCTAAGTGACTGTTCAAATTAATGAAGCCCAAAGAGGAGGTCCTGGGAACTGCGGCTTGAAGCCGGTCATTGAGAAGTTCTGGAGGCCCTGACTTGTGTGACTGGTGTCTGAAGTAGGGGTAGTCTTCTGGGACTGAGCCCTCAGCCCGTGGAATCTGACACTGTTTCCAGGTAGTTAGTGTCCGGATTGAATTGGATGGGAAGATACCCAGCTGGTGTTGGCTGCAGAGTTGATTGCCTGCTTATTGGTAGAGAGAAATCCCCACGCGTCTGGTCACAGAAGTCTTCTGTATAGATTGTTGTCAGGTGAGAGCAGAGGAAAAACTGTTTGATTCTCAACCAACTTATAATATCTGATGCAATGTAAAGGCTGTGTAAATAGTTGTACTGTGTTGTCTAGGGAATAATGACAAAAAGCAGTCTGTCCATGTTTAGTACAGAGGCAGCCATCCTAGGCCTAACTACATAGTACATGTCAGCAACAATGTAGCATTTTCTTTTTTTTTTTTTTTTTTTTTTTTTTTTTTGAGACGGAGTCTCGCTCTGTCACCCAGGCTGGAGTGCAGTGGCAGGATCTCAGCTCACTGCAAGCTCCGCCTTCTGGGTTCACGCCATTCTCCTGCCTCAGCCTCCCGAGTAGCTGGGACTACAGGCGCCTGCCACCTCGCCCGGCTAAGTTTTTGTATTTTTAGTAGAGACGGGGTTTCACTGTGTTACCCAGGATGGTCTCGATCTCCTGACCTCGTGATCCGCCCGTCTCCGCCTCCCAAAGTGCTGGGATTACAGGCTTGAGTCACCGCGCCCGGCCCAATGTAGCATTTTCTTAAAAACTTTTTTTGCGTGTTTTTCATTTAAAGTTGGTTGAATCTAAGGATGTGGAACCTGAGGCTAAGGAGGACCGACTGTATAGGAATTCATTAGCTAGCATCCTAGTTGCTAGGCGTGTATATTTTCTGACTTTCCCAAGTGAAATGGTTTGAATCAAGGGTTTTTGTTCTTGTAACAGCCTGTCCACTTCTGCCAAGTAGTCAGTGATTTCTGGTAACCAATCTAGAATTTTGCGGCTAGTAATTCATGGGAAAATGAGATTTCCTGATACAGACATGTGATTTGGGAGTGGAAGGGCCCTGGAGTGGAAAGGTCTGGAAGCCTAACTTCTGGTCCTTACCTCGTCTTCAACAGGAGGTGTGGCGTTTGGAAGTCTGCTCCTTGGAATCTTTAGTAGAACCTTGAGTTGCAGATACAGTTGACCCTTGAACAACACGAGCTTGAACTTCATGGATCTCCTTATACGCAGATGTTAAAAAATAAATGCAGTTGGCCCTCCATATCTGCAGGTTCCACATCTGCAACCCAATGCAGAGAATGAAAATACAGTATTTCAGGGTTGAGAATATACCCGCGTACGTGGAGAGCTGACTTCCTAGCTGCTGGTTCTGCAAGGCTCTCTGGGAGACAAGCATGTTTGGATTGTGGTGTATGTGGGGGTCCTGGGACCAATCTCCAATGAATACCAGGGGATGACTGTATATTGTACCTCATCAGACACTCCCAGAACCTGAAGTGAGGAGGCACAGTGAACAACTCCCCTAAGTTTTTGCTACTTTAAAAATTCTTATTGAGTAAATAACTACTAAGTAAATAATACGTAATAATGACATTAATAATAATACCAGAAATGTCTTCTTTTTTTTCAGACAGAGTTTTGATCTTATCACCCAGGCTGCAGTGCAATGGCGGCTGACTGCAACCTCCGCCTCCCGGGTTCAAGCAATTCTCCTGCCTCAGCCTCCCAAGTAGCTGCCTGGCTAATTTTTGTATTTTTAGTAGAGATGAGGTTTCATCATGTTGGCCAGGCTGGTCTTGAACTTTTGACCTCAGGTGATCCACCCGCCTCTGCCTCCCAAAGTGCTGGGATTATAGGCATGAGCCACAGCACCCAGCCCAGAAATTTATTAAAGGGGAAGAATATTTATGCTTTATTTGATTGACAATTTAAAAATAAAGACTTCTTGACCATTACTTGGAAATACATTTTCCTCAAGTAAAAGGATAGAATTTTTTTTTTTTTTTTTGTAATGGAGTCTCGCTCCGTCACCTAGGCTGGAGTGCATGGTGCGATCTCAGCTCACTACAGCCTCCACCTCCTGGGTTCAAGCAATTCTCCTGCCTCAGCCTCCTGACTAGGTGGGACTACAGGCATGTGCCACCATGCAAAATATTTATATAGCGAAGCTAGGTATTTCTGTATGTAAGGTATGTATTATTTGGCTAACTTTGTCTATACATAATCATTGATATGGCTGGAAAGGTTTGTGTCAACTCTTTTATTCTTTTTATTTATTTGTTTATTTATTTTGAGATGGAGTCTTGCTCCGTCACCCAGGCTGGAGTGCAGTGGCGCGATCTCAGCTCATGGCAACCTCTGCCTCCTGGGTTCAAACGATTCTCCTGTGTCAGCCTCCGAGTAGCTGGGATTACAGGTGCCCGCCACCATGCCTGGCTAACTTTTTTGTGTTTTTAGTAGAGACAGGGTTTCATCATGTTGGCCAGGATGGTCTCAACCTCTTGACCTCGTGATCCGCCCACCTTGGCCTCCCAAAGTACTAGGATTACAGGCGTGAGCCACCATGCAGCCCACTCTTTTTTTTTTTTTTTGAGATGTAATATCGCTCTGTCACCCAGGCTGGAGTGCAGTGGCGTGATCTTGGCTCACTGCAAGCTCCACCTACCAGGTTCATGCCATTCTGCTGCCTCAGACTCCGGAGTAGCTGAGACAACAGGCGCCCGCCACCACGCCCGGCTAATTTTTTGTATTTTTAGTAGAGACGGGGTTTCACCGTATTAGCCAGGATGGCTCAATCTCCTGACCTCGTGATCCGTCCGCCTCAGCCTCCCAAAGTGCTGGGATTACAGGTGTGAGCCACTGCGCCCGGCAGCCCACTCTTTTATTCTTGAATGTAATATATGTATAATTAGGAAAATGGACACTATCCTCTGTACCATCTTTTTGAGGTAGTGTCAGGATTTCTCTCCTTTTACAGCTGGAAATACTGATATTTAGAAAAGGTGGACAATAGGTACTATAACAACCCAGTAACAGGACTGCAGGGAGGATGCTTGTGTACTAGCTCCCAAGAGAATGCTACAGGGTAATTTGTTCATTGACTTCAGAAGCTGCCCAGTTTGCTTGTACCACAGTTTAGTTTTTCAGAGCATGACTTGATAGCATAGGTTGGGCATAGGAGAATTTGAGCAATTCTTTTCGTCATTGCCTGCGTAGGAGTTAACTGTGTGGCAGTTAATAGGCACTGTTTGCATGTGCTGTTTGTGTGTGTGTGCTTCTAAGGAAAGTTCACCATGAGATCATTTTGTTCTGTTTATTTGGAATTCAGTTTCCCGGAGTAGTTGTTTATATCCATTTAATTGATTCACCAAGTTAAGCAAATTTTACAAATTAAGTGT